TGGAGCCGTCACATGGTTGATAGCACCCTGATATTTCCATTTTTAAAGCTATATTTATATGTATGCATGTATATATGTGCACCACATGCATGTCTGGTACCCGCACAGTTCAGAAGAGGCTGTTGTGAGCCACTGTATGGGAACTGAACCCGGATCCTTCGCAGGAGTAGCTAGTGATCTTAACTGCTGGGTCATCCCTCCAGCCCCAGATCATCCCACTCTTAGGGATCCTCTTTGAAATCCTTCTCTTAGCTTTTTTTTTTTTCTTCCTTGGGTTTTTAAACCAACACTGTTCATGGAAGATCTGATCTGGATTAGCTGTGCAGTGATTTTTCTCTTTGGGGTTTTGGGTCATTTTACTTTAGGTGGCTACATATATCCATTTAGGTCATCAGATTATAATGATGTTGTCTGAGTTTGCTCTGGCACGTTTGTTCAAAACTCTCTCTCTGTCTCTCTCTGTCCCTTTCCCTCTCCCTCCCCCCCCCTCCCTTAGTGTCCTGGCCCCAGCTTTGCCACTGTGGGCTAGATCTACCCTTCCTTCAGCTTGTTCGTAGAGTGGGCATGACGTTCATGCTGCCGTGTCTCCTTGGTGACACCTTTGCCTCAGAATAGAACTCTGTGGATGTAGCTTCTACCACCTGGGTTCACCTGGTTGTTTCCACTGACTAGTTAGCTAATTTCTGATCAGGAAGGTGATTGGGAAATACACCTGACAAGGGTGGATCAGAATGCGAAGAAAGAAGTTTGGATGATCTGGGAATCCCTTAAAAGTCACAAGAAGGTTCTCCGTGAAGCATGCTAAAGAGCTGTGATGAATAGTTATCATGTCAGCCAGGCAGTGGTGGTGCACACCTTTAATCCCAGCACTCAGGAGGCAGAAGCAGGCAGATCTCCAAGTTCCAGGACAGCCAGAGCAACACAGAGAAACCATGTCTCGAAAAGCAGAAAACAGTGGTCATCTTGGCCTTCTTTGTGGGATTGATGAATCATAATATTCTTCATGGTAATTTTCTATGTTATTATGGGAAATTGCTAGAAGGAAGCTTCTGTGGAGGAAATGGCAGGGTCTCCAGAAAATAAAGACCAGTAAAGAACCAGAATGTGCTGAAGACTTGAGCAGGCAACAGAATGCACTTTGGGAAATATAGGGAAAGATCCGAGAAGAGTGGTTGGTGTACTCACATTAAATTTGTTTCATCAACCAGCTGTGGTGGTATACCCGTATTCGGGGGTGGTGGGGTGGTGGTAAGCCACCCTTAGTGACACCATGTCTCAAAACCATAAACCAAAACCAAGGTCTGGAGAGATGGTGCCATGGCTAAGGAGCTTGCCCGTAGCCATGAGGACATAAGTTCATATCCCCAGCACCCATATCAAAACCAGGTAATGCCATGCACTAGTCACCCCAGTGCTGGTGAACCTGGGATCTAACTGAAACAGCTCTAGGTTCAGTGAGAGAGATCCTGTCTCCAAAGAAGTAAGGTGGAGAGCAGTAGATCCAATACCTGAAGGTGCTCCTGACCTGCACATGTGTCCACACAGGCAAACAAGCACACATGTGCACACACATGCATACACTACACATACACACACTAAACATAAATAAAAACAAAATTTTGTGTTTCTGTTTTGCCACAGTGACAAATAGCTGAGAAAACACTTAAAGGAGATAAAGTTTTGGGTGCTAGCATTTCAGCACATGGGTACTGGCCTCTCTTGCCCTTGGCCTGTGCATAGTGAGGCAGAGCATCGTGAGCTGGGTAGCAATCCATGGCACACAAGATGCACATTTAAAAGACATGCTGCCAGTGACCACTTCCTCCGACCAGAACTCACCTAGTCTGCACCCCCCAATAATGCATCTGTCAAGAGATCGATCTCCTAATTAGTTCAGAGCCCTCACACTTCAGTCGCCTCTAGGTGATCAGTGCACAGGCTGGGCCCAAGCTTCCGGCACGTGAACCTTTTGGATTGTTTGGTTGAAAGTGAGTTACCGGGAACTGGAGGGAAGTAAAGGGCAGTGATCTCACACACCTCCCTCACCGAGAACCCGCGACACCAGAGGCCCGGTCTGGTTTGGTTTTCCTGGAAGAGGGTATTTATCCTGGGTTTTGTTTAGAAACATTAATAGTTTTCCAGACACACTTGGCAACTTCATCCCTACCAAATCCAGTTGGGCACTGAGTATTCCCCTCGGCCGGGCCTGAGGTTTGACCGTGGTCATCTGTCTTCACTGTGCAGCCTGCTCGTCTCAGTCTGCCTTTGCTCTGGTCTCAGTATGTGCTTGTGCTTCTTCTCTAGCACTTACTGCTGGCACCCTCCGATGTGGCAGGCTGGGGAATCTTCATCAAAGATCCTGTGCAGAAAAATGAATTCATCTCCGAGTACTGTGGAGAGGTGAGGTGCTCCTATGTGATCCAGTGGTCTTGTGTATAGTAGCAGCTTGCATTACTTTGGGCAACTCCAAGTTAGAATGAATTAATACTGACCACCCCATAGCCCGGACTTCTTTGTATCTGTAGATTTGGTTTGTGTAGTAACTAGCTAGATTGCTTTGGCTTGGTCATGTTTGCCTTTTGTTATCTGGAGATAAGGGTTGGAAACAAGCGCTTTGCTGTGTGGAATTGGTCCGACTTAATTGGCAGATGAGCGGATGGGGATCCAGAAACAACAGCATTATTAACGTGACCGTTTTAGTTGTAGAGCTGAGGGGGGAAAAGTCACAAAACAGCTTCAGAAAGTTACAGTTTGCATTGTTTTTACTCAGCAGGAAGATGATATAATCATCCTCTCTAGGAATATTGCTTAGGACATAGAAATCTTTCTGATTGGAATTTTTAAAAATGTATTTTTTGGGCTGGTGTGACAGTTCTGAAGGTAAAGGCACCTGCTGCCAGGTTGATGACCTGAGTTTGGTCCCCAGGACCCACATGATGGAAGGAGAGAAATGACTCCCACAAGTTGTCTTTTGACCTTCACACATGGGGCATGAGTGCACAAGCACACACACACACACACACACACACACACACACACACACACACACACACACACCCGTAATTAGTAGATAAAATGTAATAAGATTTAAAACTTCTTTACTGTTGTACATTGCTAACTAGAGAAGAGAATTTGGCTACTGTGCCCCCTCGGCCCCCTCAAGAGGGACCAGCCTTCTGTTCATTGGCTCTTTCATGTCGGAACAGGTGTGACCACTTACTTCAACACAGTTTCCTCCTGTGTCTTCCTTTCAGATCATTTCTCAGGATGAAGCGGACAGAAGAGGGAAAGTGTACGACAAGTACATGTGCAGCTTCCTGTTCAACTTGAACAACGGTACGTCTGAGCTGGGAGCACTTAGCTCCCTGGGGATGGATTGGGTTTTCAAGTTTGGAGGTCAGCAAGATGGCGGGAAGGAGGCACCTGCCCACAGGAGCAGCTCTGGGGTTTCCTGTCACCAGGCCTAGGCTCAGGGCTGTGTGAGGAAAGGGGAGTCCCCTGTTGAGTAGAAGGGTTGTGTGCAGGAGACAGTGAGCACCAGGCTCTGCTGTCACAGACGCTGGCTGTGAGGGGACATTGTATCTCCCGCTGCTCCCTGGACCTGGGCTGAGCAGTTACAGCGTCCTCTTGGGTCAGTGCCTCTGACCTGGGAGGACAGGCAGTGTGTGGACAGCACCTTGTGGCCCCAGGATGTCGCCCACAGGTTGTGAGGAAAGCAGCAGCTGCCACAGCCTTCTCTGTGGAAATGTGTCTGCTCAGCAAACATTCAGAGGAACCTTCAGCTGGACTGGTAGAGCAGTTTTGTTTTTAACGAAAGTGTTCCATAGAAATAATTTTTCTATGTAATCTTAAATGTTAATATGCCTACTTCTTGGCAGGACTACATTTTTAAGGCATGTTTTGCTCAGCAATATATAATTGAGAAGTCATGGCATTTGAGAGCCATATTTAACAATCAAGGATTCATTTTAATCTAGAATAGCATTTTCTTCCAAATGTCATTTTATATTGAATTAAATTGAGTGTTTTATTTGCTTTTGAAGTCAAATCCTGAAGAACTATTTCTAAAACCATTATAACTTTGCTCCATGATTGAAATCAGTCACTGGACTGTTTGGTTTTTCTTTTTAGATTTTGTGGTGGATGCAACCCGCAAGGGCAACAAAATTCGTTTTGCTAATCATTCAGTCAATCCAAACTGCTATGCAAAAGGTAGGCTTTTAAGTTGGAATCGCTAGTTTGATATAAAATTCCTTTTTTTTTTATAACCAGCCAAATGATAGCAGACTGCAGTATCTCGGGGGTGGGGGTGGGGACACTTGCTGTGGACGGTCAGCCTCCCGTGGCCTGTCTGCCTGCTCACTGGCCCCATGTTTCTCTTTCCAGTTATGATGGTTAATGGTGACCACAGGATAGGGATCTTTGCTAAGAGAGCCATCCAGACTGGTGAAGAGCTGTTTTTTGATTACAGGTTGGTAAAATACACTTTTAGTATCTACAGGCTTTCTTTTCCTGTTCTGTGGGCTGGGGTGAAGGCTGTTTGTACGATCTTTGCAGATCTGCCATCATTGGAGGGGGCATTCTTCTAATTGGCCAGTCACTATTTGCTGTGGGCTCCAGTAGAGAGTTCTATGTTCCCACAGTGTGCGTTGTGTGTTAATTATACAACGCTTATTTGAAAAAAATAACAAACCCCATGCAGAAAGCTACATTTAGCACCCTGCTCTGATAACTGGCTGTGACCCCTGGGGCTTATTATGTCTGGAGTCACATCTGTATCCTACAGCGCCCTTTCTCATTGGTACAGTTTATGTATCTTTATTGGTAGCACATTGTATCTTCGTTGTTTTCATTACCCTGTGGTCACTGTGGATTCTTTCTGAGGAAGCTAGTCACAACCAGTGACAGACAGTGTAGTGTTCCACTGTCAGGAGGCAGGCTGGCAGTGTAGTCCACCTGGCTGTGGGCCAAACCTAACCAGTTACTTAAGTATGATCCAGTAAAGATTTCTAGCTAGAGAATTCTTTTTTTTTTTTAATATTTATTTAATTTTATTTTATGTGCATTGGTGTTTTGCCTACATGTATGTCTGTATCCTCTGGAACTGGAGTTACAGACAGTTGTGAGCTACCATGTGAGTGCTGGGAATTTAACCTGGGTCCTTCATGAGGAGCAGCCAATGTGCTTAACCCCTGAGCTATCTCTCCAGCCCCTAGTTAGAGAATTCTTGTGGCCGAATATCCATCCCACTCAGAAACTTAAGTTGTGCAAATGGGGGCCTGTGTGTGCCTAGTTCTAGTCCATTGTGGTGACACCTGGGGACTGGAACAGGGTCCCCGTGGGGAGGTCACAAGTGGCTTGTCTCATGCTTGCTCTAAGTGGGCCAGGGTTGGAGGCAAAGCTGTCCAGCTTCCTTAGTGGTGGGACCCTCAAGTGCCCCTCTTGGCGCCTACTTTCTGAATCAGCACAGCCAATGGGGTTGTTCTTTGGCACTGGCCATTCTTTCCAAATCATGATTCTGCTTTTGCAGTATTAGACCCAGACGTCACAAGGTGGGGTTGCCTCAGGGCAGAGTGCTGCAGAGGCACAGAGGGGCTGGGGGTGATCAGTCAGTGACAGATGCATGCTTCCCCGTCATGCCTGCAGCTCTGTGATGGGGCGGGGTGTGTGTTTTAGTCCTCTACGTCAGCAGACTTGGTTCTCCTGATGGTCGACAGTAGACGTCTCTTTCATTTCTTGTTTATGTTCTTTCAGATACAGCCAGGCTGATGCCCTGAAGTATGTGGGCATCGAAAGAGAAATGGAAATCCCTTGACATCTGCTACCTCTTCCCCTCCTCTCTGAAACAGCTGCCTTAGCTTCAGGAACCTTGAGTACTGTGGGCAATTTAGAAAAAGAAAATGCAGTTTGAAATTCTGAATTTGCAAAGTACTGTAACAGTAATTTATAGTAATGAGTTTAAAAATCAACTTTTTATTGCCTTCTCACCAGCTGCAAAGTGTTTTGTACCAGTGAATTTTTGCAATAATGCAGTATGGTACATTTTTCAACTTTGAATAAAGAATACTTGAACTTGTTGACTTACTTGTCATAGAGCGGCATCAACTGATTCTAGAAAGATCTCGTTCAGTGAGAAAACACAAAGTTAGCTTTGCATTTCCAGTTGTCTATGAATCTTTAAAAACTAATAAACATACTGGCATAGTGGTTGCCTAGATTCAGTGTTACCATTGCCATTGCCTTTTCGTCTTGAGTGAACCTCACTGATGTGGGTTCTGGGCATTCAGCGAGGAAAGTAAGTCAGCAGATGGGTGGAGCACATTCCAGCCAGCTTGTACCCCAGGGAAAGCTGATCAACCTCCAATCTGCTGTCCATATGTAAAATGATTGTGGTTGGACTAGGTTATGTCTAAGAACCTATACATCTTAAATTCTATAGTTTAGACAGTTAAAGATGCTGGTAGGCAGGTAAGGGTAATGATCTATCCCAGTACTTGGAGAGCTAAGGCAGGAAGGTTGTGAATTAGGGATACCCAAACCCAGCCTGGGCTGCCTGGTGAAATGGTCCCAGAAAACAGAAAACACACATAAATAAGCTAACTATAGTTTAAATCTCCAAGGGGTTTAAAATAGCCCCTTCCAAATCCCCACTGAGCTGGGGACCTGGACTTCCTTGGCAGCTAGTCACAGAGTAGTACTCTAACTGCTCAGCGCCCTCCAAGGCATGCTTACAGCTCCAGTGTGGAGATGGTCACAACAGCTCAAAATCAGTCCTCTAGGGTTTGTAATACCAAGTTACAGTTTCTAGAGTTAGATATGATTTGTATTTATAAAGGTACTTAAAAAAACCTTCACTTTTACATTATATACTAAAACTCACTTTGTCAATTTCCAAGATAGTTTCCGATCATATCAATTCACAAGGCGTAGCAACTTGGATCTTTGATTAATGTAGATCAGGAGGGGTTCTAGTGACCATGGCTGCTCTTCATTCTCCACTTGGCACTTGCATGGATTGCCCTGGACAAAATGGGTAGCCATGTTTAGTGCTGAGGTGGAGAACACTTTCTTCTACGAAATTTCTTAAGATTACCCAATAGCCTTCCTTGTTCAAACAGGCAAGTGGGGCACATCTGTTCGGTATAATGTGGGACTGTTCAGGACCCCCACGGATTGTTCGTGGCATCAATGGTATCTACTGACATAGCTCATTTGGCCATGATTCTCATCTCCAGGTATCAACAGCTGGAAGGAGGCGTTCAGATCGAAGTTACTGGTGTGTCAGACACAGGTCATATTGGTAGAGCAGTGATTTGGAGAACTTGTGTTACAGTCCAGGTTGGCTTGAAACCTGCTATGTAGCTGAGAATCACTGAACTCCTGAGTCTGCCACTACCACCTCTCAAGTGCCGGGACCGCTTACAGGCACTCTTTTGGTTTTAAAAACCATGGTTAGAAGTTTACTTTTTTTTAAAAAAAATCTTGATTTAGTGTGTGCCTGTACTGGTATGCCACTGTGCGTGCATGTTTACAAGAGTCAGTTTTCTCCTTCCCCATTGTGGGTCCCCGAGCTCAAACAGGTCACCAGGCCTGGCAGTGAGTGCCTTGACCCACTCACAACTCTCACTGGCTCCATTTGATAAGGTTCAGTTCTAGATAGAACCAGTCAGCTTGAAGGGCATGTATGGGGGGGTATGGCACAAAGCCTGACGCATGGGTAAACCAGTCTGCAACACCTCATCCATCCAGACTGATGACCAGGAAAAGTACCACGTCATTGCTTGCCAAATTCAAGAGACTTTATAGTTTATGTTAGAAAATAGTAATTTACCTAGAAGTACTCCTTGTTTTTCAAGACTGAAAATCACCTATCTCTAGCCTTTACATGTCCACTAGAAGGTCCGACTTCCATTTCCGCCCAAGTATTTGACCACTGCTGTGAAGACAAGGAAATTATGTGATTACAGTTGTTGACAGATCATCAAGACAGTCTGGATGTGAACATTTTGAAAGAACTTAAGCATTCGGTTACTTAATTCTGACTGGAATTAATTGAAAAAAAAAAAAAGCTTGTTTTTACATTTTGCCCTTTGTTATAAATGATTTCACTGAGGGCCATCTATAGGTCTATGTGGGTAGTGTTAGAAACAATTCCATGCTCCCCTGGTTAGACAGGCGTTATTTGGTCTGGATACCCGCATGAACTGAACCCCTAAAGTCTCGGCTACCCTGACAGCTGTGTCAGCCTATTTGATTTTTTTTTTTTTAACCCCAAATCTATGTTTTTAAAAGAAAAGCAAGCACTGATGTTTAGTCAAGAATGAACACTGTAAGATGCTTGATGGTTAGATTTCAGGAGCCCACTCATTCAATAGCCTGTTCTCATCCTTTTCTGGAGGTCTTCATGTTCCCTCAAAGGCAGTGACCTGCTATGCTGTGACCCCTGCCTGGTGGGCTCAGGCAAGAGTAAGCCATTTCCCCAGCCCTGTCAGCTGGCTTTAGTTAAAAGCCCAGCTCTTTAGACCACCAGGTTCATGTTGTAGTCGGGGAGAAGGGTGTGGAGGATGCAGACCTTGGCTTTTTATTCAGCCAGCCTAAATAGTAGTTTTGCATCCTGGCTGCCCTTACGCTCACTCTGACTCCCCATCCCATAAAAATCTCTTCTTCATTCATGTCTAGCCCTCCAGTTTTTTGATCCACCACAATAAACTTGGGCCATCTGTGTGGCTGCGTTTGGAGCCGCGGTCCTTCTGAGCTCAGTAGTAGGTCACACAACTGAAGAGTGATTCCCATTCCTGAGAATCCCGTAGCCAACAGTTCACCCGCGAAGGGCGGCCCTGATGACCCTTCTGTCTCTGGCCCCCGCAGCACTGGGATCACAGATACAAGTGAGGCCACATCTGCCTTGTGTGCATAGGTGCTGGGATCCTATGGCTGCACAGCAGGCGGGCAGATCTCTGAGCTCCAGGCCAGCCAGGGCTACACACAGTGAGACCCTGGAGAGGGCGAGACAACAGCAGGATTCTAAGAATGGAGAGCTGGGGGAGCGAAGTCTGTGAGCTGGAGGGAGTTTAGGGTAGGGGAGGAGGTGAGAAGGGCTAGGAGGCTGGTGTCTGAAATATGGAACAGGTCCTTGTGATACTGAGGGACCCTGGAGGCCACCATGAGCTCTGTCCCTTCCCCTGGATGGGAAATGACTCATCAGGAAGAGGGGAACTGGTTTCACAAGTTCCTGAGGAAGGCTGGCTTTTATCTAACTGCCAGAAACCCTCCTGTAGTTCAGGCTGAGCTCATTGCTGGACATTTGGACTGCCTTTTGGAGTTTGGGACCTAACAGATTATTTATTTTCTAGACAGGGTCTCATATATATCTCATATATATATATCCTTGGCTGACCTAAAACTTGCTATGTAGACCAGACTGGCCTTGGATTTAAAGATCTGCCTGCCTACTCCCTATAGCCTCAAAGAGTATGTTATCTGTTCCTTTTCCCTTACTGTGATAAAACACCACAATCAAAAGTTGACTCAGAACAAAGAGCTTATTTGGGCTTATGGTTGTAGAAGAGTAAGAGTCCACCAGGGTGGGAAGAATGGCGGCAAAGCAGGAAGTTAAAAGAACGCATTATAATCACCACTGTTCACTTACCAGCAATCAAGTGAGGTTAAGCCCCGCCCTAGCCCAGCCTACAGTCCAGTTCCAGGTACTTAAAGGCACATTTCATCCTGGTACAACCGAAGAGATTCCAGTCAAACTGCCTTGACTTCACAGGGTTTCTCTGTGTAACATCCCTGGCTGTCCTGGAGCTTACTCTGTAGACCAGGCTGGTCTCAAACTCAGAGATCCACCCGCCTCTGCCTCCTGAGTGCTGGGAGTAAAGGCGTGCGCCACCACGCCTGGGCTCAAGACAAATTCTTAAAACGGACCCATGGTGTTTACAGTGTTTGTCTCAAGACATAAAAATGAACTGTTAGGATAAGCAAGCTGTGAGCACCATTCAGTTTGAAAATTAGTAAGGGAGTTTTCAAGTCATGTGTGTGGAGCTCTGGGGCCCTTTAGGGTACAGGAAGGCAGTGAGGTGGCTGGTTCGCTTGCTTTTACCTGGTTTATATACGGAGTCTTAGGAAGACTGTTTGTAAGTAGACACACTAAAAGGCATGGAGTGATGGGGTGTGACAGAGCTTGCCTGTAATCCCCAGCACTAGGAAGGCAGAGGCAGGATCATGAGTTTGAGGCCAGCCTGGGATACCCAATGAGACACTATCTCACAGTGAAGGGCTAACGATATGGCTCAGTGGTACAAACCTGCCTAACATAGCAAGACTGGGATTGACAGCTACAGCTGTGCCTTCCACCCCAGAAATGAAATGAAAAGGGAACTATTCTGAGCTACTTGCTTAGAATTTAGCATAGGAATGGGTCAAGGGTGGCTAAGCTTGAGAACCCTGAAGGCATCCTTAGCATGAGAATGAAACCCAGAGGTGACAGTGACAATGGGAGACTCAGAAGGTCCCATCCTGCATTCCTCTCGCCCTTCAGCCAGGAAATGGAGATTGGGGACAAAGGTCAATGCAGTGCTCTGTGGTGGAGTCCCTGGAGGCCCCTGAGCTGGACTGGATCTGAGGAGGATGAGAGCCTTGAACTCTGGCCTAGGCCCTCCTGGGGACACCCTGGGGTGAATATGGCAGCCTCCTTGGGGGGGCTTCACTAGGAGGGACAAGAGGGAAGGGCTGAGCACCCTCCCTGCTGATCTAGGGAGTTCCCATACTTCAGATGCTTCACTCTTCACAGATCACAACTGTAAGCAGTGAGTGAGTGCCACCTCCTGTGGCCCATCAACCTCAGTGATGCTGGGGTCACAGGCCCATGTTGGTTCCACTTCTGAACCCCAGTTCTTCTCTTACGAGTGGTAACACAGCCCAGTCTCTGCACCTGTCTTAGTACTTAGTCCCTGCACGTCGGCCGGCGGCAGCAACCTGCACTGAGGAAGTCTCAGAAACAAGAGTCAGTGCCCAAAATAATAGGGGCCTTAAAAATCAAGATCTTAATCTTCAATCCAAAGAATGCAGCTCTTTT